TGGGTGGTTACAACAGTCACGGGATGTGAGTGCAGCACAGGGAGCGTGGTGAGCAGCGTGGCGGTGCTCGCGTGCGGTGCCGGGGTATTGGGGAGAAAACGTTGTACAGTGTGTGGCTGTCTAACCCCTATGCTTGTTCACCTGACACTAATACAAAATAATATTGAGCATAACCTGTAGTTGAAAAATAAAATGTGAAGTGTTTTTTAACGCTTGTTTTGACAACATCCGCCAGTGCGCTTGTTGCTTCTATGGGGGAACAGTGTCGGAGATCTTTACAGCATCCTTCCCACTCACATCGCCCTCTTGCATTCTTATTGATTCAGCTTTATGGAGGTATAATTCACATTCAAATAAAATCAGCCACGTAAAGTGAACAATTGGACGAGCTTTATCAACTGCGTAGCTGCGTGACTGTTACCACGGTCATGATGCAGGACATTCCCGTGACCTCCCACAGCCCCTGTTGCTGCCATTGAGCACCTGCCATGCTGTTTTCCATCCCCCCGGTTCTGCCTTTTCTAAAATTCTGTATGAATGCAATCAACGCTTATATGCCTGCTCTGTGCATCTGGCTTCTTTTTCTTCGCATGAAGCCTTTGCGATTCATCCATGTTGTCTATTGCATGGGTCAGTAGTTGGAGCGCCTTCGTATTGCTGAGTATTCGTGGCATGGATGTACCACAATTTCCACATCCACCTGCCGGTCGAGGGCCGTTTGGGTTATTTCCCCTTTTGTCTATTTTATGAAGAACACCGCTGGGAAATTCAAGTGCGAGTCTCGAGATGCATGATTTATTTTATCTTGGGCAAATAACGAAGAGTAGAATTGCTTGGTCAGATGCTAAGCATACATTTAATGTTATATGAAGCTGCCACGTCATATCCTTTTGAAGTGTAGGCGGTTTAGCATCCTTGCTAAAACTTGGAAGAACAGGTTTGTTAGACATGTAAATTGTATACATGATAGGCATTCCTTCCCTAAACAAACCTGTTGCAGAGCTTCCCAAGGAGAACATATATAAAATTTACTTCCACACCACAGTGAGCTCTTGGGCGGTGATGTCAGCGGGTGTGGAACTAGCCAAACACTGGCTGTGGGTCATAGGTGCAAAGGCCAAGGGCGCGCCCCAGACGGCCTCAGACTAAATGGCCTTTTCTAATCCAGTTGCTCATTATCTTTGACCCTAATGAATGTGCCGCCTGTGGGTGAATTGGGGAAGGCTGAAAATGAGGGAGGCCCTCAAATATTTTTAAGGAAATGAGTGGCCCAGTGAGAAGTTGAGAAATAGGTTTTAATGGGAGTCATTCGAAGTGGTGGAGGAACCAAACAGGAGGCTGTTGCCTGACTCTAGGCAGGAGTCACGGGACCGAAGTAGGACCAAAGAAGCAGCCAGATTCAAAAATACCATGGAGGGGTCACGGACCTGATGGGGACCTGATGATCAAAGTAACAGTAGCCCTTGAGGAGGAGCCTTAAGGTGACTCTGTCCGTCTGGGTGGCCTGCTTGGTTATACTCGTAATCAAGACAAGACATTAACTAGGATAAACAGGCTTTAAAGGGAAGAAGTTCCATTTTGATAGTTGAGTTTGAGGGGCCAGCAAGACCCCACACATGGGTGAGACTAGAGATCAGCTAGAAATGTACCTCCCGGGCTCGGGGGGGCGGGGGGTGTCAGAGCTAGAGACAGAGGATTGGGCATCGTCAGAGTCACGTTTATTTCAAGGCGACAGAAGATATTTCAGCCTACCTGTGAATTCTCAAAAATATACAAGTTAAAGGGCCAGTACTGCTTGGTGACAGGAAGGAGGTGGCATTTAGAGAGATGAGAGATTTCATGGTCCTGAAAGCCAAGGATGAGAAGAGGTTCAAGGAACGGTGAATAGCAATCAGTGTCCACTGGTACAAATATGCCTTTGCTAAAAAGAAGAGTTGGAATTCGGTGACTAAACAATTACCGGCTAAAACTGGAACCAGTCCAGATGTCCATCAGCAAGAGAATAGCTAAGCCAAATGCACCTCTTGGCACCGCGGAGTACTTTTCAGCAATTAAAAGGGAGGATTACCGCCGAGATCCTCATGAGCATGGATCAATCGCAGAAACATTCTGTGGAGTGGGGAAAAAAATTGAAAAGCCAGGCACTCAAAGAGCATACTGTGCGATTCCGTTTATGTGGCAACCAGTCTACGGAGGACAGGAGTGAGAAACCAGATGTCCGTGGGGCTGGTGGGAGCGGGTGTGGCGGTGCAGGGCGTGGACAGGGAAGGAGAATTCTCTGACGCGAAGACAGAGCTTCGCCTGGGTTGAGCGTAGCTGCCATTGCCAAAATGTATTGAGCTGAAAACGTAAGATCTTTGCACAACCAGGACACCAGAGAAAGTCACCTGTCGAGACAGGAGCCGGAGCACCTCGCTGCACCGGCCTCTAAACGCCCGCTAACTTGCAGGGACGCCCCTTCACAGATGCGGGCGTCTGTACGGAGGGACCGCGGCCACAGAATTTCCAAAGCAGAAAAGCAGAAACGTGAAATGGGGAGCTAGCAGGCCCAAGAAGTAAAATTTAAGAGTCTGTGGGGGAAGCCATAACATGGATCCGTTTGCACTATAGAATCCTAAAAAGCTCCAAAATGGGAAATGAGGTTGAAGGCTGGCTAAAAAGCAGAGGGCTGTTTAAAACCGTATTTAAAGTAGATTCATGTCCCCGATCTATACTTAGGCAGCCCCTCCCCTGCCTCCAGCACAAGACTATATGTTTGTCCCCTGGAGAGACTAAAATAGAAGTTCTGTAGACCAGGGGACATCAGCCATAGCTGAAGAGGGAGATACTCTTTCAAAAACAAGGGCTTAAGCGACAGTCTACCTGCATTCTAAATACTGAAATCACCAGGACTCTTTTGTGACTCAGCTCCAGAGTTTTGGGAAATATGCTTAAGAAGAGTGTCAGAAATGTGAGAACCAGAGTTCTGAGAACCCCGATTAGCCCATGTGAAAACAAAAATAAACCCTGAAAATCCCCACGAGAACAGGTCAGAAGGCTCTGAGAGAGACGTCTCCAAGGAAATTAAGTGAACAGACTACCTGATACGTTTTAACACGCTTAGAGGGTTAGATATTTGGGGACATTTGAGATCGAATTTAGGGATAAGGACATAGAAAACTGTGGAAATAATAAACACATGTTTGTTACCTCCTGGGATAATGCAAAGATAAAAATGGAAGAAAAAGTAATCAGAGTGTGGTGGTAAACATAGGAAAAACATTCTCATGGCCGCAATGAATACTGAATGTAGATTTATCAAAAACTTACAAAATCGTGACTTAACTGTAGTTCTAGGAGGTAAAAGGTGTGAATGTGTGGGAAATGAGGGGAGAATAGGTGGTAAAAAAAAAAAAATAGATCCTCATCTTTTGTAGGACAAAGCGAACAGATTGTGACTTAAACTGAAAAATCAAGAAGTAACAGTATAAACATGTTGTCAGAGGTCAACGCCAAAAGAAACAGTTAAAAGAGTCCCCCAAAGAGCAGTACACGTGGCAAATGATGCGAAGGGTCCTGTTTGACTCTTTAAATCGTAGGCATTCAATAACTGCGATTTTTAAAAAGGAACCCAATGAAACAAAATTGCAAAGGTATCTGCAAAGAGCATGTTGTGAAATTAGATTGCTGTGGATTGAAGTGAGTGAAAACTGAGACTATTCTCAGCAAACTGAGTACCTACGGAAGGGCAGTTAGTACAGGTGCTTGATGGACAGGTAGGATTAAAGGAAAACGAGTAGTTTCTTTGCTTATGGTTATTTAGGTGGCTAACTAAGTAGTTAAGTCAATTTGCTCAAGACAGGGATGAGCTTAAAGAGAAGAAAAGCTGAGGTGAGAAGAGTTTGCTGAGCTGAGAGGGAATAATAATGTATCAAAGCCCCACAAGGAGCGGTGGATGTGGAAATCAAAAACAAGGTTAAAGGGTTAGCTTTGAAAAAGAATAGCGTCATCGTTTTTTTTTTTTTTTTTTTTTTTTTTTAATGATGGAGGTAAGGATGAGTAAATTAATTTATGTCAAATAGCTTATATTAAGCCATGTTTTCTCACCGGGGATGGAGGCTAAGTCATCTGGTGAGAAACTGCCATCTCTTCACGGTCTGAGATTGGGTGCCAGCCAGAGGAAAAACTAAAAGGAATGCTGGGTAGCACTTTTGGGAACCCAGCCGAGGAAGAAAATCGAAATGTATGTGTCAGTCCGTAGGGGCTGCCCTGACGAAAGACAGACGGGGGGTCTTCAGCGGTAGACATGCATTGTCTCCCAGCTGTGGAGGCGGGAAGCCCAGCCCCGGGGGGCCGGCAGCGCCCCGCGTCCCACTCCCCGGGCGGCGCGGTGTCTTCTCGCTGTGCCCTCGCGTGGTGGGCGGAGAGCGCGCGCGCGCCCGTGTCGCTCTCCTCGGGACAGTTCTGCTGCGGCGGGGTTCGCCCTGTGACCCCGTTTGACCGCAGTCACTCCCTCCTCCACATACAGCCGCCCTGGGGGCTGGGGCTTCAGTGCACGTTTGAGGGGGACACCACTCGACCCACAGCAAGGCATAGGTGGGCACTGTCGTGTGCGTCATTTTTCCGTTTATACCCCACAGCCCAAGAGCAAGAGAGAAGGCAGGTGGTTGAACTGATGGAAACGTGGGGACGGGCGCGACGGGAGGTGGCTGGGGACAGTGTGGCTCGGTGACCGAGACTGGGCCCCGGGAGCGGCGGAAGGAGGAGCGGGGGCAGGGCCGGGTTGAGCCCAGGGAAGGGGCAGAGGCCAGCAGGCCTGGCGGCCGAGGCCCGGGGCGTGGGGGCCGCAGAACAAGCAGCGACGCCCCTCCGGCCGTGGCCCCCTGAGCGCAGCCCGGGCCGGGCGCACCGCGGACGCTTTGCGCTTCCGGCCTCCCCGGCAGGGACTGCGAATTAGCAAACTGGAGAGAAAATGTAGGGTCACTAGTGGTAGCAATCATCGCATTTTTCTTTCTTTTTAGACGGCTAAATACGTTGAACAAGTGTGCCTCCATGAAACTTGATGTGAACTTCCAAAGGAAAAAGGTAGGTGCGCCCCCGGAAGGCCCAGGCCCTCCCCGCAGGAGGCCGTGGGGCGCCGGTGGAAACAGCACGCGCCTAAGCCAAGCGCTGAGAAGACTGACCGCCTGCGCTGGGCCTCGCTGCCCCGGCTTATCTCAGCCATTAGGGGTTCGCTTAGTCCTTCATGAACCCGGGCTGAGGTCTGTTTGACCATCTCCTTTCGCTTTAGTTTCTAGCAGAGGCTTTGCGCAAAGATGTGAAACGCCTTCATTCTTAATGGCGCCCTTCCGAAAGCTGGTCGAGGTGCAGACCACGCACTCCAGGGCCGCGCAGAATACCCCACAGATACCAGCAGATGAAGGGGGCACAGGAAAGAGGCTGGGTCCACGCCAGGGGACCTCTGCTTCGCCCTTTCCAGCAGCATTTTCACGTATGTTCCCAGAGCCATTTCTTCCCTGGCAGGTTCACCGTGCATGGTCCCATGTAATTCGCTGTGGCAAGGACTCTCTATTTCCTAGAGAAAGAAAGTAAAATGTGCACAGGTTGAGCCACTCGCCCGCGATCTTTTCTGACCCAGCGGCGGGAGCGGGTTCTCAGCCTCAGGCAGGGCTCCCTCTAGCCCCAGGCTCCCAGTCGACGTGCTGCGGCGCTCTCTCCTCCTCACTGAATCGATCCTTTTAGGAATCGCGGAGTTCACAGCGTTCACCACATTTTTTTCGTTTCTCATCTCCAACGCGGAACAAGCCAAGCCTCAGTGTATTTTGAAGAAGCAGAGCAAACATCTTTGAGTCCAAAGAAAGTGTTCTTTATCCTGGTCTTCACAGAGAAACCATTAAACCACATGGCTTTTAAATCACTCCTGAGTAACCCGATCTTTAAAAATAACTGGAGCCTGAATTTCTGCTCTTAAATAGCACCCAAAAAAGGAAAGGAAAAAAGAAGAAAGGAAACAGAAGCAGCAAATGAATTTTGGTTGACCCCACCTTAAAAACAATGTGGGGTTGGAGCTGGAAGCCAAAGGTTTAAGCTAAGGAGGTAAAATGGTGAAAAACAATATCCAGCGAAATATTAAAACATGAGCCATCTGTCCAGACCAAAGGCAAAGTAAAAATGTGGAGCTGAATGGAACCCTTCAGAAGCACACACAGCGTTGCCGGCCCGGGGTCGGCGCCGCTCCGACTGCGGCGCGGGGTTCCTGCTACACCGAGCGCGGCCATGCCCGCGGGCGTCGGTCGGCGGCCAGCCCCGCGGCCCCCCACACAGACCTCTGGCCGCGGTGTTTCACAGAAGGAAAGGCCCCAAACGAACGGCATGGTGTGCTGCCAGCCGCGTGGAGTGGCGATGCTCCCAGCCTGTCCCCAGCGTCGCCAAACCCACGTGTGTGATGGGCTTGAATGACCCTTGTTCGCCTGTTTACGTTGACCTCCCCAAAAGCGCCTCCGTCCATCGGTCCCTTCAGTCCCCTGACATTTGTAATGTGTCCCTCCTGTTGGACGGAGTGGCAGGCAGCCTCGCAGCCCTGCCGAGCGGTGGGCCTCACCTCTCCGCGCCCCTGAACAGAACACTGCGAACTGGGGAGCTGGGGCCTGACTTTTCAAATGAGCCGTTCCGGCGCATGGCCCTCACCCACTCGTGTGCTCAGGAGTGGCCAGCCGCTGGGGCTGCGGTCTCCGCTACCATGTCGGGGACCCTGCGTGGGGCCACGTGTCCTCATGAGCTGCCCCTTACCCACGTCATAGGCCAGTCCTTCCTCTTACTGCAAAAAATAAATACGTTCATACATACAGGCTAGGAATAGGCCAAATGATCAAAACTGGAAAGTGAGACTTCAGAACCGAACACCACGTGAAGCTTCAACCCTCTTTGGAATTTGTTTATTTGGAGGAAAACTAAGCAGCAGCGCTTCCCCTCAGCTACGTCCCCATTTCAAACAATCCAAAAAATAAAAATAACAGCCTCACCTCCAAGCTGCGGAGGCCCAGGCACGCTTGCTCCTGCCGAATGCCGCCCCCCTCGGGGGCCGGCTGGAGCCCCAATTCTCCTCCTCTCTCTGGGGCTCCTGGGGCTGTGGAAGGGCTCTGGGGCTTGCGTGGGGAGCGAACACTCACGCGTGCCCGTCGTGTGCCAGGCACGGCCCCACGTCAGAGGTGCAGAAATTAACGGGTGGGAAGGTAGCAACTTGCCCAAAGCCACGCACCGTCAGCCGAGGCGGGATCTGAACCCCTTTGCCTGTCAAAGTTACTCAGAAGCCTAAGGCAACCTGAGCAAGGGGCCTGGGCTGGAGGCCTGGGCGTGTTTCCTCAGCAAAATGCAGTGACGCATTTTTACCGGCTTAGGAAAGGGTTGCTTCTTGCCGCCCGTACTAGAGCCCAGGACTGATTTAGTGTCTTCATGGATGTTTGCCTCTGGGTCTCTCGCAGGGAATGGGTCTTCAATCTTACTGCTCGACTTTGCATTTTCCTCTCGTTCTATTCTGTCTGAAGAGCTTGGTGGGTTGATCCGAGGAACCGCCAAGTCTAGAGGAAGAGGGTGACGCCGCGTTCATGCTCAGTCGCATTAAATGCGACGTGTGAAGCGTGGGGAAAGGAAATCACCGCTGCCTGCCCACGAGACATGGCTCATTCCTGCTCTGGACCGGACGGACCCAGCCGCTCGGCGCCGCTCGTGCGAATGGGGGGCCGCTTCTGAAGGTCCCTGAGACGGTGGGTCAGCGGCCGCTTTGCAGCCGTGGGTCTGCGCGGGCTCCTCCCCAGGCGGAAGGTATGGCCACGTTCCACTTCTTAAAAAAGTTTTAAAAACCTTCCCTTGGCCATGTTGGGTTGGCAGTCATGTCTGAGAAGTATATCGTTTCGTCTAAGCACGTTCTCCTTTTTTATAAAAGAATGAACATCAGAGTTTCATGCAAATGAAAAGCAAGGCACATGCAAATGCTACTGGTTCTCAGAAAAGTGTTTCTTCTTCATTATCACCCGCAAAATCTCCGGCGGCTTTAGGACAGCAGTGAAATCCCCTAATCAGGGCTGGTGTTTCTGCGGCGTGACGTCCAGTCCAGGGCCAGGTCCGAGACGGGGACTCCAAAGGGCCGCGTGTGAAGTGAGGCCGGAGAGGGGCACACACGCACCCAGGCCTCTTCCCCGCCATTTCCCACGACCGGAAGAGCGGCTCCCGAAGAAGTTTCTGGTAAAATTGCAGTTTCCATAAAACCGAACCCGTGGCCCACGGGCACCTTGCAGCCGCTCGTCCAGCCTGGATGCCATCGGGGTCGCCAAGGAGCCGCAGTTGTCAGCGGCCCGGTCGCCAGCGCCACTGCGTTCGCCCCCGACCTCCCACCACGTAAGACGCCCCTGGACTGCTCCCCCGCAGACTCAAGGGAGGGGAAACTTAGATTTACTCCCACGCTCGTGTGGCTGGAGAGTCACCGCCTGGAGCTAGAGATAGCTGTGCGTGGATCTCTTAGAACCACGGGCTCTGAGTCGGAGGATCTTTCGTCACCTTTCGAGCCCCGCACCCACGGCCCGCTCGCTTCGTAGAGCGCCCCTCCCCGGGCGCCGCCGCCTGTGCCTGAGGCATCGAGACGTGAAGCGCTGGCTGCGCAGCCAGGCCCTTTGCTTCGTCCGGATGCCGGCGGGCCCCCGCAGAGTACGCCGGGAGCTGATTCAGTGCCGCGCGCCCTTCCGATCCCAGGCCTTTCATCCGGAGACGTGCAGGACGCAGATTTCCGCTCTGTCCTGTGGGCCAAGGCCAGCCCACCACCACTCTTGTCTTTGAGAAGGAAGCTGCGTTGCAGCCAAGTGACACCCGCTCGGGTGGCCCCAGCAGCAGTAGCTGCGACAGAGCTGCACGGCCCGTAAAGCTAGAATACCTACCGTCCGACCCTTGACAGAAAGTTGCCCTCCCTCTGCCCGGTCTAGAACAAGGCTCCTCAAGCTGCCGGTGCGGCGTGCCGTGTCTGTTTTGTTTTGTTTTCCATTTCCAGGGGGCTACGGACCGAGGTGCTTTTGTAAAATTCAGTACCAATGAGTTAGAAATAAGAAATGAAAAAAAGTGTGGAAAACAGAAGCCTAACTGTCTTACTGTTAGACTCAATAGACACAAAATTGCATGGCAGTAAATACAGTGAAAACAAAGGGAATGAGAACTAGAAAAGAATTACAAAATTCACATTTTTATTGGAAGTGCACACAGGGGCACTACTATGAAGAACTCTGATGGCACTTACAACCTTTTGGTTGTTGAGCTCCCGCAACTAAAGAGAAAATTCCCTTTGAGACACGAGTCCCCGTGTTAAGTGCCTCTACTCGGTCTGTGAATATTCATGGCCTTGAGTTTCTCGTTTATCCCCTAGTCTGGGTCGGATTGACACCACCACCCACAGGAAGGAGTGTGTATCTAAAATGTTCTTTCTTTGTTTGATTAATAATAATTATAAAGAAAACAGTCTCAGAGAGTATGTTGGCTGGAATCAAAAAAGAGGTTTGAACGTAATGTTTAAAAGCTTAAGATATTCCTCTTTTCTTTTTTTCCAAAATGAAACATGTTGCTGTTTTCAAAATTCCTCTTTGATCCTGCCTTACTAGCCTGTCCCAGCAATTACCTTTCTGTAAAAACAGTCAGTCCTGTACATTGTACACCTTGAGTTATGGTGGATCCACTAACCTTAAAGTGTACCTGTTCTAATGTGGCCCTACTGTGCGCAACACCCAGAATGGGCTCTACCCTGCTCGGTGACACTAGCCTGCCGACTGTGACCTTGGCGAGCACGGCCTGGCCAAATGCTGACAGGCCTTGTAACGCTGACGCTCGGCGTCTGTGCACGTGTCACCGTGGGCTGGTAAGCCTGCGCACAGGCAGGCCCTCGCACGCACTTTGGGTAACGCTGCTCTGCAGTTCCTCGTTTCTAAACCAAAACCATTAGTTCTTTCGATCATCCTTCACGGGAGGCCAGGGTCCTCAGAGGCCCTGCCATCCTGATGACCCTCCCCAAGAAACACTCCCCTTTTCCCTTCCCCTGCGCCCCTTACCATGTGGCACGCAGGACTACCGCCTGCTGCACCCGCCATGTGTGAGCCATGGGCGACAGGGTGGGCCCAGCCCCCGGCGTCTTGTGACGTACACATTCTAAAGCTGGGGGCTGGGTTTGGCGGCCACAGTGCATGGCTCACTCACATTAAGCTTCGTCTGCTACAGTGCTCAAAGCCACGCATCGTGACGGCTGTCAAGCCTAGTCCGGCCCATCCTGCACATCCTAGAGTTGACTTTCAAAGGGAGGGTCTCCCTGTTTCACTCTGTGAAAGGTCATGTGCTTACCAGGTTGCCCTTCTATGCTGTTCAGGTCTTTAGACACCCCCGTCTCGCCACTCTGACAATGGCAACTGCTTTGATCTTGCACTTCAAGGCTCACGCGGCATTTTCACCTCTCATCCCATTTGGCCCTGTTGACATTCCCTGAGATGCGTGCATCGTGATCACTTCCCCTGCACAGCTGAGGACACCGAGTCTCAGGAGGGCGCCTTGCTGGAGACCCCTCGGTGAATGGCCCCGGGCCACCTTCACGCTGTAAAAGCACGCGTTCTCCCGGCCCACTCCAGCTGTTCTGGAAATGGACGTAACTTTGAGGCGCCCCCGCCCCCCCGCGACCTCTCCCTAGTCGTGTGCAGCCTTCTGTTCGCACTCTCGGTGCAGTTACCCAGCCAAGTGCCTTGCGAGGCCCTCTGTAGTGCCTGCCGCTGCCGGCCATTTGTTCACAGAACATCAGGAGAGCCTTCGGCTGCTCCCTGGCCAAAATCCAGACAGGCTATGACTGTAGTGTATGTTTTCATGGTCTACTAAACCGTTAAGATAGGAGAATAAAGTTCATTTGGTGTTTCTTTTTCTCTTAAGTACATCTGACTCCTCCCATTTCTAGGTAAACAAACTATTTCTTTTTAGCCCGAAAAAAATAATGACTACGGATGGACTCTGATCCCCTCTTAACCAGTCAGGACGCTTCCACACTCGTGACCGGGGACCCTGCTGCATGCCTGGCAGCCGGCTGGGCCCCGAGCGTGTAAACGTGGAATTGGAGGGCAGTGTCTATTCCATACTGTGGACCATGGCCTACGCATGGATTGTTAAATAAGTTTGATGCGGCACAAACAACATTTTCCTAAAAAGGAAACAAACTAAATTAGATTATAAAATATCAGAGTACAGCTAAGTGAAATAAGGCAGACAAAGAAAGACAAACACCATACGATGTCCCCTCTGTGTGGAAGTTAAAAAAAAAACAAAACAGAAACAGACTCAGAGACAGAGAACAAGCTGATGGTTGCTGGACAGGAGGGGGCGAAGGGAAAGGAGAAAAGTGAACTTCTAGCTATAAAATGAATAGGCCACGGGGAAGCCACGCACAGCACAAGGAAAAGAGTCAACGGTAAACATCATCGTAACTGTGTACGGTAACGGGTTGTTCCTAAACTTAAGGTGATCAGATTACAAAGTCTGTAAATGCTGAATCACGATGTTGTGCCCTTGAAACTGATACAATATTATATGTCAGCTAGATTTTAATAAAATATGTCCGAGTATAAACGAGGATAATTAAAGTAATAATTATTTATTTAGTATACTTTCTCTGTGTACCTGGAGTTGCGATAGTGGTATTTCTTACTGCATTTCACGATCAGTAGTTCGAAAGATGCTGCAATAGAGGAAAACAAAGACACGGAATCATGTGACTACCCTTTGGGACGTACTATGACAAAGAAGAAGGTGCTAAAGGAAAATAGGTGTTTTTTTTCCTTTGTATTGTTTTTGTTTATTATTGGTTTAGTTTTTGTTTGATTGGGGTGTTTTTTGCAGGGGAGAGGTTCGAACAATCTAAATACTGAAAAAAGCGTCTTGACCGTTGGCCTGTTTTTCCCAGCGGTTCACCACTTTTCACAGGCCTTTGTCGGATTGCAGGTCCCTTCCTGTTGCCCAGAGCTGGTATAATAAGCTCTCAGAGCCTCGCCGACGGGGGCGGGCGTCCGTTCCCAGTCCTCGGAGCCCAGCGTGGCCTCTTTTCTTAACCAAAATAAAGGCGTCCTTATCCAGCCAGCACGTGGCTTCTGAGTGTCAGGAACCGAGCCAGGGCTAGCGTGAGAGAGCCTGTTGGAGCCAACGCTAAATATTGTCATTTGTTTTAAAATATTGATGATTTCTTTAAAAGCATATCCTTCCCTGGCCTTCTCAAAAACTGTTTGCCAGAAGGGCTGTTTCAGGATGCCTGTTTAATGTCAGCTTCCCCTCACCGGTGTCCTGCAACGCGATGTGAGAATCCAGAGCTCGAGCTTCACCTCCCTGGCACACAATGGCCGCTGGTGTCAGCTCTTCGTGTATCAATCACAGGGCAAAAGGAGGTAGAAAAAGGCTACAAAGAAAGTATAATTCTGAGTCATCATCCTAGAGTCTTGCCGTTTTTTCCGCTTTACAACTTTTTTAACTCTTTTGCCAAAGCCTTATACAACTTTTTTTTTTTTAACCCAAAGCTCTTTTCCCTGTGACCCCAGAGCTGCGGAGTTCTGCATCAGCACCTGGTTCTGTACCTTCCTCCCCCTTCTCCTTGAACGTCCGCATTTGTCACTGAACCGCACCCAAATGAATCTAGATTTTCAAGAAATAAATAAGAATGGGGACTTCCCAACTTTTCTTGACTGGGCCTCTGTTCCCTTTTCCTTGAGAAGAGGAATAATTGCAAAGTTAAGCCGTGTGAACATGGATGTGAGATATGTAGAAAGAGAGATGAGCCATCTCTGTTGACAGGCAGCAGATAAGCAGTTGAACAAACACTAGAAAATAACAAATAAGCAAATCCTCCTCGTGGGACTAGGGAATGCAGTTTCGCCTCATCCCCTCCGCAAATGCATGAGGCAGGGCCTGTTTTTAGTCCCATTTTCTAAGTGATAGACACTTTGGAAAGAGTAAGCAACGTGCATACAGGCACGAAAGCACGTAGCTGGTGCCACTAGCACTTGGGTCTCAAAACCAGCTGCCGGAATGAAATAAAAGAAACTTAATTCAATGAACAACACTACATTGAGCAGTTACTCTGAGGCTGGCCTGGGGCGGGAGGGAGCTACCCAGAAAACAGAGAAGCCCAGGCTCTGCTCTTGTGGGTTCTCCTGTAACGGATGAGAATGGGCGTGCGAGACACGGGCTTGAGTTATCGTTAGAGTACATGCTAAAGAAAGGTCTCACCCACACGCCGTAGGAGTGCGGGCGACTATGTCGTCATTGTTGGGGACAGTCGGCGAAGGCTTCAAAGGGAAGGACTGCACAGCCGGGCTGAGCAGCCAGGACCGCCGGGCACCAGCGGAGGGCGCTCCCGGCGGCGGGCCCTGTGCATGTCCTTCTAGGCTCTGACCCTGAGCAGAGCTGGGTCCCGCGGGATGGCCGTGGTGCCCCGGGGGGCGGAGTGGAGGGGAGGGGGGGCAGCGGCTGAAATGAGGCCGTCCCGGGGAAAGGGGGTCCTAGGGAAGGAGGCTGAGGGACGCCAGTGGCTTTTGAGCCGGGAGTTTACGTGATCACATGCGATCGCACTGTAGGAAGCTGCTTCCCTGGGGAAGACACCGGAGGTTCTGGCATAACAGACCCAGAGGGAGGTGCCAAGGGCAGGACCAAGGGCGTGGGGGTGACAGTACAAATGAGGGGACAGATGTGAAAGTCATCGGAGCTGGGCCCGGGTGGTATGCATGGCGAGGAGGAGGCAGGAGCCGACGATTTGTCTCGGAAGGAAGTGGTTATTTAGGTGCTGTAGGTCAAGGCCTGTACTGGGCTGCAGGGGTTTGCACAGATAGACAAGGCCACCTCTGGCCTCGGGGGACCTGCCTGTCCTCCCGCAGGGCTGCACGTTCGGGCGGAACCCAGGCAGGTGAGAGGAGCGCGTGCGGAGCAGAGAGGGAGGCGGCCGAGCAGCGGGCCAGGGCCGCCCGGAGGGGCGCGTGCCCAGGGCCCTCAGGCTCAGGACCCCCGGGAAGCAAGGGGGTCGGCCCAGCGGGGCAGGCCGGCGGGCCCTCCTCACCCCGCGGCCCCCGGAATCCCGCGCACGGGAATCCAGCAGGGGCCTCGGCCCTTCGTTCGCGCAGGGACATGCGACCCAAGTCAAGCTGGGAGGCGGCCGTGAGGAGGAGCGTTCGCTTCGGGGGGCCGTGGCTTTGAGGGTCCGAAGAGGGGAGCTGGAAACAGGGTCCTGGGGTTCCCTCCGCAAGGAGGTTTCAGGGAAAAAACCCAGCGCCGTGTATGGCAGGATTACGTTTCTGTGTGAGAAAGAGACCGCAGGTGTTTTAGATTTAGGCTGTCTAGTCAGACAGTAATTCCACCTTCTTTGTAATCAGTCGAGGAAAGCACTCGGAGGAAGGCACGGCGCAGAAACTGTGGGGAGTGAGAGGGAGGCGGTGTGGCAGGTCGGGAAGGGGTGCTCCGGCCCCCGGGGAGGGGCAGGCGGCGCAGGTCGTGTGCCACGGCGGAAGGACCGCGTGGAGGCGCCCCCAAAGCCCCAAGGAAGGACCTGGAGGGAAGGGAGCGGGGTGGGGGGCCGCACCCCTGGCCCCTAGATGTCCCCTGTCACCTGAGTCACCGGCCCGCGGGCCCTGTCCTTGATGTCTTCCAGGGTGACGACTCGGATGAGGAAGACCTCTGCATCAGCAACAAATGGACTTTCCAAAGGACCAGCCGGCGGTGGTCTCGGGTGGACGACCTGCACACGCTGCTTCCGGGGGCAGGCGGCGGCGGGCCGCCGGGCGGCTCGAGGATGCGGGCCACGCCCAGCAGTGAGAGCGTGCTCACGGACCTGAGCGAGCCCGAGGCCTGCTCCGTCCACAGCGAGAGCAGCGGGGGCAGCGAGGGCCGCGGCCCGCCGGGCGGCCCGGGCGCCGGCCGGGAGGCCTTCCCCTGCGCTGGCCGGTGCTGCTCCGACGGCCCGGCCATGCTGGACGCCGGGGTCGTCGGCCCCAGCCCCCCGCCGCCCCCCGGCTACCCCTTCCAGGCGAAGAACGAGAAGCCCAGCCGGGCCAGAGCCAAGTCGTTCCTGAAGCGCGTGGAGACCTTCCGAGGGAAAGGAGCGCAGGGACGGCACAAGGGGCCCGGGCGCACGGGGGGCCTGGTGATCAGCGGCCCCGTCCTGCAGCAGGAGCCGGAGTCCTTCAAGGCCATGCAGTGCGTCCAGATCCCCAACGGAGACCTGCAGGGCCTGCCCCCGGCCGCCTGCCCCGGCGGGCTGCCCGGCGGCAGCCCCCGCAGCGGCGAGAGCAGCCCCGTGGAGCAGGGCGGCGGCGGCGGGCCGAGCGCCCCGGGCCCGAAGGAGCGCAAGTGCCTGGAGGCCCACAAGCGCGGGGGCATGTACTTGGAGGACCTGGACGTGCTGGCCGGGCCGGCGCCGCTGCGGGGCACCGGCGACCCGAACCACCCGCATGAGTTTCACTCCCAGGAGAACCTGGTCGTGCACGTCCCCAAGGACCACAAACCGGGCACCTTCCCGAAGGCCCTGTCTATCGAAAGCCTCTCGCCGACAGACGGCAGCAGCGGGGTGACCTGGAGGACCGGCAGCGTGTCCCTGGGCGGGCAGCCGGGCCCGGGCGCCCGGGAGCCCGGGCTCATGGCTTCCTGCCACCGGGCCAGTCGCGTCAGCATCTACGACAACGTGCCTGGCTCCCATTTGTACGCCAGCACAGGAGACCTCCTGGACCTGGGGCGGGAGGACCTCTTCCCCCACCTGGATGACCTCCTGCTGCAGGTCCACGGGCTGCAGGAGGTGGTGGACGACTGGTCCAAGGACGTCCTGCCGGAGCTGCACTCGCGGGGCGCCGTGGTGGGCAAGCCCGGCCTGGGCCCCGTCCCGGCCCCGCGGCAGATCACCCTGGACTTCGAAGGCAGCTCCGTCTCCGAGGGCCGGAGGACACCCAGCGACGCGGACCGGGACGGCACCTCGCTGAACGGGTCGGAGGCCGCCGGGGCCAGAGAGAGGAGGGATTCGGGCGTCGGGGCCTCTCTGACCAGGCCCAGCAGGTTGGTGGCGTGATTTTGTGAAATGAGGTCTAGTCCGCTTGGTTAGAATTACGGCCTGTGTGTTTACTCACCGAACACTCACAGAGCAGGTGCTAAACGCCGGGCGTGGCTCTAAGGGACCTGCGTGGCTGGGACTCGCGGGCTCGGGAGCCTGTCTTCTGTCCAGCTAACCCGGTGACTGAACCTGTGTGCGTCACGTTTATGCCTCTGAGTGTTGACCCCCTAGTTCCGTCTTAGTTTTATTCCCCAAAACGGGGGCTCGTGTGCGAAGGTCTGTGCTTGGCACACAGACAATCCCTGATGACGAGGACCCGGGGCCTGCACCCAAGTGCTGCCCATGACCTTGGAGGATATTCACTGAAATGTCTCTGCCCCGCACGTTAGACGGCAGTAATGTAATTGCAGGAGAAAATTCTGAGACGTAACGTGGGCACTTTGTAAGTTTATTTTGGCTTTAAAATGCCAATTACAAACTGCCGTACAAAGACCATTTCCGAAGCATCCTAGAGAGCGGCCCCGGGTGAGCGTCACCGGGAGGGAGGAACGACGTTGTGCCCCTCCGGTGGATGCAGTGAGGCCCCTGGCGCCTCGCGGGCTGGTCGCCCCAGAGGGGTGCCGCGCCCGTGCCTGTCCCACTCAGGCTCCGTCCGGACACCGAGCGAGGGTTAGAATGTGAAGACAGGATGGCAACGTGAAAACACCGGGTCCAGCACAAATAATGCCCCTTTTCTATGTGCTGGTAACCTACGCCAGATCTTTTATTACAAAATCATGAGCGTGTAATTTTGTCACATAACAACATCGCACCCATATACACCGTATGGCATTCTAGGTGGAATGTTCAAATTGCTGTCTATCTTGTGCGAGACATTCACATACCCAACCAACCACACTCAGAGACGTTACTTCTGCCAGACCTTGTGTTCTGGGCTTCCCAAGCTTTAAGATCTCTCTCTCTCCCCCTCTCTCTCTCTCTCTCTCTCTCTCTCTCTCTCGTGCGCGCACGGGCACACGCGCACACACCCTCAGCCGCTCTCAACACTTTGGAAACACATTAGGAATGAACAAAGAAAATTTATTATATAACTTACTTAAACCTCCTACTGAAACAGGTAATGACTTCTTTTCCTGATGTATCAGACTTGGGGAGGAAAAAACGGTGTCTTGGGTCTGTTCTGTGCATTTGTGTCTCCCGTCCCGTGTGCTTGGTGGCATGCTTGACCTGGAACCTCCTTTGATTAGCTACGTAAAAGTCAGTGCCACCTGTGTGTCCGAATGACACGTCCCCGCAGTGACGGCTTCCCCCTGGCACAGGCGACTCCGGTGGAACAGCTTCCAGCTCTCGCACCAGCCGCAGCCGTCCCCAGCCTCGCTGCACGTCAGCCACCTGAGCGCCGGGCAGCTGAGCCTGCTGCAGCGTGTGTCCCTGCTGCGCCTCACAGCCATCCTGGAAAAGCACTCCATGTCCAGCAGGCACGGCTGGACCTGGTGCGTAGCGCCTTCCCCTGGGCGGGGCGGGGCGGGGCGGGGCGGGGCAGGGGGCCTCCTGCCTGCGGGAGCCCAGCGAGTGGTGGCGGAGACCCCCGGGTTTGCTGGCCGACTTCGGAGGCCCCTGCCGTGGCCCTCGCTGGCCGACCCCTTGAAGGCGGCGCCCAGAGCTCTGCCTCCCGGCTGCCTCCGCGAGGCGGATGTGGCCTGTGGGGCCCAGGGCTTGTGCGCAGCTCCCTGCCCGCGTCCAGGCAGGGCAGCCCGGCTCCAGCAAGGACAGAAGGCAGGGGGAGGGCAGTTCATCGCGCACAGAATTAGAGAGAAACTTGCCGGAAAGTAATTCTGGCAGGTTCCTGCTGGAAAACATCTGCGCTTTGCACCTTGGGGCCAGCGCAGAACTCAACACTTAGCGCTGATTCCTTCAAAAAGCATTTCGCTTTTCACGCACATGTCTGCTTTTATTTCCCTGGCAAATGAAAGCAAGAATATGCAGTAAAACCTTCGTAACGGGGAATGGACCAAACAGGTGTTGGAACTTGGAAGTGGACCTGTTTTAGATGATTGGGTGGGTTGGAAAACACGTAAAATGTGTCACTCATTGTCCTGTGGTACATATTACACATAGAAGAACTGGCAGTGCCTCTGTGAAACTAATTTAGAAAGTTACAAGTTGCATGATCAAATTAACATGTGCTTGTGTATTAACATTTCCTTTAAAAAGGACAGTTGGTCGTAGAAAATCATCGCCAAGAAATGCTTTTTATCTTTTCTCCCCTCCTGCCTCCCCCAACCCAACCCCACTAACTCCTCTTCTGGTGGTTTGTAAATGTGTTTCATTTTGTTTTGTTGGGACTTTTAAGTGTATATTACTGGCGAGGCGTGGAGGTGACAATTAAATGAGAACATCGGACGCCTGACTGGGGCCCTAAACGCATCTGCGGGCGCGGCTCCTGCTGCGTAACGGCCGGGTGCCCCCACAGGCTAGGGGCCCATGTGGTCCTTCCGCGTGGTTCTGGGATTAATTAAGGGGAAACGGTGAACTCCCGGCCTGTCGGGTGTTCCAGCAAAAGCTTGGCTTCCCCTTTGGCTTCGCGTTCACAGCCCCTCCCTCGAGGGGGCCCCCAGAGGCTTGATGACCTGGTTTCTGTGAATTCTAGGTCAGTCCCAAAGTTCATGAAGAGGATGAAAGTCCCCGATTACAAAGACAAGACTGTCTTCGGTGTCCCTCTCATAGTCCACGTCCAGAGGACGGGGCAGCCCCTGCCGCAGAGTATCCAGCAAGCACTGAGGTATCTACGCAGCAACTGTCTCGATCAGGTACGGTCGGAACCGCGAACGCAGGCCTGGGCCCGGGAGTGCCGGACGGAGCCGGGCCTGGCCGCTGTGCACGTGGCAGGCGCCGCCGTCCAGAGAGGGCGCTGTGCTCTGCGTGGGCCAGGGTTTCGTTTGACCAGGGCCCGTCCTTGTCACGGTGTTCGAGGGCATTTCTCCGGGGCACCCGGCAGGACCCCCTGGAGCAACCGCACCGGATTGGTGTGACGGGTCGCAGCCGTGAGGCCTAAACTCCGTTCCCTGGGAACTCTGTGCGGCATTTCCTTTCCGTCGTGGGCCCAGTGCTACCACTGATTTCACAGCATCCCTCTCAGCCCCGCTGTGTTTTTTTTTTAAAGAATTGGTTTTTATATGTCCCTTTATTCTTTTCTTTTGGGGGCGGGGGGAACAGCACCATGACCAAGAAAACGTAATGCAAAGACAGATTTATTTACGACTTCTTTAACGGTGCCAGTAAAACATGGAAACCACATCCGCTCAATCAAATACCCCTTCATCTTGTAGAGTTGATGACAAAGCTCAAGCTACATGAAATATCTGGAAGTCGCTTTCTGTCTCCAGGACTGTGTGGGGACCCCCGCCACAGTGGACTGTGATGGGTCCCCAAGAGCACCCCATCCTGTAACTTGCCAGGCCACGCCTTCGTTCCTCCAGATTAACACCCGTTAGCTACTCAAACAGTCTTTCGAAAACCAGAGCCATGTTGCCACTTGATAAATTGCAGCCTTGAGCAGCAGGAGTGTTTCCGGGCACCTAGTCAGTGGCGGCTCTTATTCATTGTACTCTTTGAAACCGGGGAAGCGTCCTGAAGTGATTTGCAGTTTTTATTGATTTCCCCTTGGCCTTGGGCACGGTGGACAGGAAGGAGCTGAGCCGCCGGGACTCAGAGGCGCTGGCCCCCGGTGCGCACCTCAACCCTGCACATCGAGATCGCGCTCAGAATGAGGGTACTCTCTTGGTGACTCAGGGACCGTTTTCCGTGGGACCGGGTAGGGGGAGCGTCTCCGTTTGATGCCAGAGAACAGACAGGTACCCACGTTTCCACATTTACGAGGTGGCAGACTGAGACCAGGCACGATGGCGGTTTTTGCTTTGGTGAGGGCGCCTGTTTTGTTTTGAGAAACGGCCTTAACAGCTTGGCTGCTGTTTCTGGGAAACAAGGGCAATGGACCCTTTGTCTGAAACTACGTCACTCGTCTTGGGCAAGTGCCCCAATGTGGCCTTGAAAAGAATGTCCCGACAGAGCAAACCAGTGAATCTGGTGGCTTGAGCTCTATCTTTTTATTTTGTTTTCCTAACTTTCACAGCTTTTACCAAAAGCACACAATGGTCTAAGGCAGATGACCTGTGGGCATTTCCCCGAGGACCATCCCTGGACAGGTGGGCTCGGGAAGATTCGGAAAGGCCCGCGCGGTCTCTTTTTATAGCCCTCAAAGTGTCACGTGCTTTTGGCTGAGGTCCTGGTGATCCCTCTTCTACTTTTGTTGGTTTGCGAGGACAGTCAAGATTATGCTCTGTGGAGGGTAGCCTTTTATTTGGACGTGCGTTTTCCCAAGCTTCTTAACTTTTGTAAGGGCATGTAAGACGACTCCTCCCTCCTGGCCGATGCGCTTCGAGGCTGTGGCTTGGCACTTCGCCAAGCGCAGAAAACGTTTTGTTCCAGACGTTCTAACGAATGGTCTGCTGGCGATCCCCCGCCAAAGCTCTAAGGGAAGACAGCGCTCGTTCAGGAAGGCCGGGAGGAAAGTCAGGCCGCCAGGCCGTCAGTTCCACAGTAAGAACCTTTCTGGAGCGCCCCGCGTGCTTCAGGGACCCTGCTGAGGCCTCGCATGCGCTGCCTCCGTGAACCCCGCCTCGCCTGGGGGTGTCGTCTCTCGGAGCCGCGGCGGAGCCCGGGTGGCTTGGGAATCTGCCCGGCTTCAGAAGCCAGGTTTTTAACCCCTGCGCCCTACTGCCTGCCACTGGCGTTGCGGGTTCCCGGGGGACGTGGGTGGGGGGTGCCGTGTGCAGGACCCAGGGGCCCTTGGAGAAGGGCCCCTCCGCACCTGATGGATGAATTCGCTGGCACAATGATGCGGGTGACAATGGCTGTTGCGCCACGTCGTGTCCTTAGCGAGCATGAGTCTCCCCTCTGGCGCCAGCCCCTGAGAGCCTCCCGTTGTGTTTGGGCCACGGGTCTGCTGGTTACAGTAAGTGAACCCGACGCATGCAACGCTGTGCGTCGCTTCTCTCCATCGGCTGCTGGGAAGCTGGGAGCCCAGGGCACTCTGCCTGAGGGAAGCATGGGACGGGGGGGGGGGGAGCGTGAGAGTGCCGTCTCTCCTTCATTCCTAGTTTCGGCCACGCTGTTCTATCTTTATCTTCCTTTGGCTCTAGTTTTCTCATCTGTTCTTTAACTTGATCGCATCTTGCTGCATTTTACAGAACACCGTACACTAAGTCACCTCGAATGCTTTCTTGAGCAAGATGAGATGTGATGAGCCACGTGTAACGCCACTGCTCCCTGCCCCGCACGGCCTTCAGTGCGGGCCGGGGACCAGTCCCGCCCCCACCCCCATCCCCCCGCCGTGGGCTCTGAGTGACGCGCAGCCCTGTCGGGCCCAGTCTCCTGTCTGAAGCCAAAGGCTTGTGCGTAGAGAGGACAGTGGCACTGAAACCTCCCCGTCCTGCTCTCTCACTGTCTGTTCCCAGTCTCCACACCACGCCCATAGCTGCTGTTCAAACCCAGAAGAAGGCTGGCAGCCTTTGGTAGGAAAGACTCATTTCAAGGACATAAATACTGATTCTAAGTGCACCCAACATGAATAAGGCCACCCTCTCTCATATCGGTCAAAAGGCAGACTCTGTGAGCTGTCCAAGGGACGGTCACCGTCACCAGCTCCACCGTGGGAGGCGCTCGGCACTGGCAGGGGCTGCCCCACGCATGCGCCCTTCACACCGCAGAGTGTGGAAAGCGGCCACCCATCTGGTCCCTGGGCAGAAGGAGGTGAGAACAGGAAGAAAACCAGGGAAAACTAGAGAAACGGGGTGAAGCATGGAAGGGAACCGTGGCCAAGAGGAAGGTTGGCCTGGACCCCTCAGAGCAAACAAGAAAATAAAAGCCAATGGCTCAGAAACAAAAGAGACGGCCAGAGCCACCAGGAAGGGGTGGACGTAGCCCCAGACGAACTTTCTTTCTTCCCCAGCAGCATCTGCTCTGGATTGAGAAAGTTTGGGTCGGCCCAGGGTCTCGGAATCAGCCTCAGGGTCATTGCAGACGTGGACGTCTCAGAATAAGATGCCTCCCCCACCCCACCCGTGGCTGGCCGCCGCGCTGCCTCCGGTGGCCCGTCCCCTTGCACCACCGCCTGGGGCTCTCCTGAGCTTCACCCTTCACCACAGGGCGGGCAGGAGGCTTCCTGCATGAGCTGGGCCTGCCCCTGATGCCGAGCACCCATCTCACGGCACACGGCGGGAGGCAGCCCCAAAACGTGGCTGTGGCTGCGGCACACGTCCCGTACCCCCTGGCACAGAGTGGCGAGCACGTGGCCAAGCTCAGCGCCCCTGTCCTCGCCCGAGAGCTGGCTGCTGCCCGTGCAACGGGGACAGTCGGCCTTCTGTGAGGAGCCGACTGAGACACAGCAGGGCATGGGAGCACCGGGCTTTGTTGGCCAAGCTCTGATCCCCGCCCCAAACCAGCTGCGCACAGGAGGGCAAGCCCCACAGCTCCCGAGGAGCCCGGGCTCCCTGCGGGGGAGGCTGGCCCTGCGGCCCCACGTGGGAACCGCAGCACCCGGTCCTCGGGGCCCTCTCTCCCTGAACACAGCGAGCCTTTCTCCATCAGCTGGCACGTGTCTAAAGAAGAGGAAACGGGACTCCTGACAACAGCATTAAGTACCGAAGGGATTAGCACCAACAGATCGCCAAGGAGGAGCCGCCGCGCCGTGGAGAGGAAAGTCGCGTTCTCCTGCGGAGCCCTGAGCCTCACAAGCCCACTTACGCGGGGGAGACACCCCGTGGGAGTCCCCTGCCCTGTCTGTGCGTCACGCTCCCGGTTGCCACCTCAGACGGATGGGCGTGGCCCGTCTTTTTCAGTTTTACCTCGGGTGCTGCCTTTTTGCCATTTTGCAGCTGAGTTGTTGGGTGGAAGACAAAAGAGAGAAGAATGACCACCTCGACCGAGGAAGCACTCGCCCTCGTCCTTTCCCCTCCGAAACGACCGCTCACGTGCAGAGGAGGTGCTCGCAGGACGAAGTGCCATTGCTGGCCGCCGTGCTTCCTTTTGGGGGAGGGTTTAAAGGTCGGCGGGAGCCTGACAACATGACATTTCTTGTTTATACATTAAGGGTTTCACAACAGGGACCGCAGGGCATTGAAACACCCAGGCGCGGGGCCCCTGTCGCCCGTCTGCCCACGGGGCGCAGACAGGGGCGCAGGAAAGACACTGTGCACTGCCTGGGTCTTCCTCTAAGAAGCAGGGGGTCTGGGGTGGCCCCCTCGGGGGGCATGTGCTCCCAGGACGCTCAGAATGGCAACGGATTTTAAACGTGTTTCTTCAGGTCTCCTTTTTTTGCTTGGAAAAAAAAAAAAAATGTTAGCCAGAAATGCAAATTGTGTTACTGCTCTGAAAACTTTGCCAAGAAGAGACGGTCGGGGCGGCCAGTCACGCCACCCTCTGCAAAGCGGGAGGAGGCGCGCCCTCCTCTGCCCGAGGACCTCTCGGCCATCGTAAGACGCCTGACGTCCCGCGTGCAGAGTATCCCACCGCACGTAGAAGCGGCCCCCTCCCCAGATGAACGAAACGGTAGGAAATGCGTGGGCTCCCAGGAGAAGTCGGGAGGCAGGGTGCTTCCAGGGTTGGTTCTTCCATCAGCTCAGGGACATCGCGGGAGACTGGGTTCCTGCCGCCCTTCCCTTCCGCCGCCCTCAGCTACGACGGCCAGCATCTGGTCCGATTTCAGGCCGCCCTTTCTTTATTAGGGCTGGGGAGAAATTCCTCCTGGCGCTTCCAACGAAAATCCACAGAACCCACAGGTATTCGCCACGTCCTCTGGAAGCTGAGGGGGGGAACGGGAAGGCTACTGTCAGAATTTGAGGCAGAACAAATAAATATCTGACAGCTCCCTGGACATCCCGTGAGAGGGAAGTCAGAGCAAGCAGCTCCAGACATGCCTAAAAGAATTAAAATAACAGTATTTGCCGAAATGAGAAAGAAAGTTGGAAGCAGAACCACACAAAGGGAACGTCGCCGGGGCGTGTGCACCAGAAACCAGGCTGGCAAGACGCGGCGGGCCAAAGAGCAGTCACGCCCAGCAGCCTCCACACAAGCACTTGTCTGCTGAATTTATTCTCCTTATAGACCCCGATCAGTACTGCTGTGCTGTTGAAAATAATAAACCGGAATTTTTGGACTGAATCAACACCGCCGCCCATGAAGACAAACGGGAGTCACATTAAGAATTCACGTTCGGGCACCGAGACCCTGAGGACTCCTGTTCAGTGCGGTCCGGGCCGCCCTCCAGCAATAGAAGAGTTGAGATGGAAACGAACTCAGGCTGGGTACCCCTTCAATAAGCACCCAGCGGACATTTTTGAAATTTAACTTTTATTGAATTTATTGGGACGACATTGGTTAATAGCGTGATACAGGTTTCAAGCACACAGGCCTACAGCACGCCGCTTGTACATTGCTGGGTGTGCTCGCCGCCCTGAGCCGGGGCTCCCTCCATCCTCATTTGTCCGCCCCGCCCCCTTCCCCTCTGGTCGTCACCACACTGTTGTCTGGGTCTGTGAGGGGTCTTGTGTTTTTTTTGCTTAATCCCTTTGACTTTTTCATCCATCCCCACAGCTCCCTCCCCTCTGAAAGCCGTCAGTCTGTTCTCTGTGTCTATGAGTCTGTCTCTCCATTGTTAGTTTATTTTGTTCATTAGTTTCCCCATATAAGTGAGATCATATGGTGCTTGTCTTTGTCTGACGGGCGTGTTTCACTGAGCATAATGCTCTCCAGGTCCATCCATGCAGCTGCAAAGGGAAAGATTTCCCTCCTTTTTATAGCCAAGCAGTGTTCCATTATGTGAATGTATCACAGCTTTTTTATCCACTCATCCACTGACGGGCACTTGGGCTGCTTCCAAATCTTAGCGATTCTAAATAACACTGCAATGAACATAGGGGTGTGTATATTCTTTCACATTAGTGTTTCAGGTTTCTTTGGATATATTCCCGGAAGTGGAACTGCTGGGTCATAAGGCAGTTCCATTTTTAATTTCTCGAGATAACTCCACGCCGCTTCCCCCAGGGGCTGCGCCCCTCTGCGTCCCCACCTGCAGCGCAGGAGGGCACCCTTTTCTCCACAGCCTCACCAGCGCTTGTGTGTTGATTTACTGAATACAGCCATCCCGACAGGTGTGAGGTGATACCTCGTTGTGGTTTTAATGTGCATTCTCTGACGATCAGTGACATTGAACATTCTTTTATATGTCTGTTGGCCATCTATATGACCTCTTTGGAGAAGTGTCTGTTCAGGTCCTCTACCCATTTCTAAATTGGATTTTTTTTTTTTTTTTTGGTGTTCAGTTTTATAAACTTCAGATGTTAAGCCCTTATCTGATATATTATGGGTGAATATGTTCTTTCATTCAGTCAGTTGTCCTTTCGTTTCATTGATGGTTTGCTTTGCTGTGCAAAACCTTTTTAGTTTCATGTAGTCTCATTTGTTTACTTTTTTTTCACTTGCCCAGAGTCATATATCAGAAAAAATATTGCTATGAGAAATGTCCGAGATTTTACTGCCTATATTTCCTTCTAGGATTTTTATGGCTTTGACTCTTACATTTAAGTCTTTAATCCATTTTGAGTTTATTCTTGTGCTCAGTGTAAGAAGATGTCTAGTTTATTTTTTTGCACATATCTGTCCAGTTTTCCAAACACCATTTATTGAATAGATTGTCTTTACCCCATTGTATGCTTTTGCTTCCTTTGTCAAATATTAATTGACTATAAAGGCATAGGTTTATTTCTTGGCTCTCTGTTCTGGTCCATTGATCTATATGTCTGTTTTTAATGCCAGTACTATGCTGTTTGGATTACTATGCCCTTGTAGTATAGTTTAATATCAGGTAGCATGATTTCTCCAACTTTGTCCTTCTTTCTCAAGATTGCTGTGGCTCTTCAGGGTCTTTTGTGGGTCCATATAAAATTCTGGAGTATTTGTTATACCTGCTATTTTGGGTGCCTCTTTGTGTTTATTTCTTTGTACTCAATAGACTTCCTATGACTCCCAGTCTTCGTGGGACAGCCTTATGTAGCAGATGTCCTGTGGGACCCAGTGGCACCATCTCCTTGATCACCTGAGCTGGGTGCTGTGTAAATGTCCCTTGTGTGGGTTATATAAGCCTCTTGTTGTCACTGAGTCTTGAATGCAGTTGGCCCACTCATGCATGAGACTGACTCTTAGCCCGGCTGACTTTGAGAATCAACCTTGACCACAGCATGTGAGATGCTGTGCAGGCACTGAGCATCTCACAAAGAGGGATTCCTCAGCAGATTCTGGTGCCTGCCTGCCGAGAGCTCCCTTTTTATATGCTGCTTGTGAAGCTAAATACATCCTGCCGTGATGTTGTCTGAAGTTGGCCACTGGGTGTGTTGGTTCTTGGGCCTCCTGGGAGGAACTGTAGTACAGACCAGTGTCAGATGCCATCTATGCCTGGCCCTTGGCAACTTGTTTGCAGAATCTCGATGTGGCCTCTTCTGTAAATCCCTGGTTATAAGATTCCTCTTCAGCTTGTTCAGTTGGTTATTCGGGATGATTTTTCTTTAATCTATCAATTGACATATTGAAGATGTCTTTTGACAGTACATGCTTCCCTCTCATGCACTTCAATGAAATTTGGAGCAGTTGCCAGAGGGTTCTTATTTTCTTGGAGAGCCACCTACATATGGCCAAGTGTCACATTTTCTAGACATGCCAAGCTGTAAGCATAAAAATGCAAGCAGTTAATGTTTTAAGTGACATGCCTGACTGACTAGCCCGATCTGTGGAATTAGGGCGATAAGCCTTGGAATGCAAAGACTTATTACTAAGAACCCTGTCTGTATTGCCGCCGAAAGTAGCAGGGTGTAATTTCCCCTGCCATCCATTCAGCTGACGTGTACAAAAACCTCAGTATTCTCTAATTGCGTGGAATTCTCCCCTTGCTGCTACTGCAATTTAAAAGAATTAGCAGCAACCACGAGAGCCCTCCGCAGACACCTGAACTTGGCCAAGGCCTGCCTGGCGTGCCGAGCGGCGGTGAGAGGAGCCGGCACGCTTCTCCAGGCCCGGGGAGGAGGGGCCCTGGCTCACCTGTCTCCCCTCTGGGTATGTTCCCACCTTGCTCTCAAAAGTGGGCCAACCTCTAAGCCCTAAGTGAAGAGTGGAGATTGAGGGTTGAAAGTCTAAATATCGAATAACTTGATGTCCTACAGGCATTTAAAAATAGCAAACATGCTAATTCACTGCCAGCCAGGGGCCCCAGGGGGTCGGGGTCCGTCCGGAGTGTGCAGAGCCCCAGGGCCTGGGGGCAGCCTGCAGGGACCCGCCTCCCCCGGAGCCGCTCCACCTCCCCCACCCTCATCAGGGCCATTATGTCTCCGGTGCCTCGTTGCTGCATTTACCTGTCAAGCGGGGAAAGAGCCTAAGCCTGAGGGATGAAAGAGGCAGGAGACGATGTCTTGACTTGACATCGTCTGAGGGGAAGCCACCCAGGGAGCCGGCTCTGCGGATCCGGAGCTGGGCACACAGTAACTCCCCGGCAGGGCAGCGAGTGCCAGGCGTCACGCGAGAAACACGCAGAGCAGGTGTTCCCAGAATTCTGAGAAAGGAAAAGCAAATGAGACTCTTAAATCAAAATAGACGCTTATGCTTATTATTCTGTTCCACGAGCGCATTCCCTGTAAATCTCACCCCCAACGGGACCTTGGACCTGGCTGCGTATCCGCGACCCACCAAGCCTCCTGCTGCCAGACCCCTCTCAGAGCCCCTACCTCAGGGCAAACGCGAGCGGGCCGGGCGTTTTGCCTGGTCTCTCTGCTCACTCTTGACTCCAGGAGCTGTTAAGTGCGCCTGGCACATCGTGGGTGTTTAGCCACCACTTGTTGAGTAAGTGAATAAAAGAGAAATGGCTACTGTGTTCTAAAACTTTACAGGCGACAGAGCACAGTCACACACACGTTCTCATTCCGCCTCCCGAGCCCTTAGGGGGCTGTCAGTCTTACCTCATTTCATGGGAGAGCACCGAGTGCCCGGCTGCTCCCGCACGTCGCTCAGCGAGCCCTTCGCAGGTTCCCGGCGGGGGTGCAGCTGCTGCGGCTCCAGTCCTGGTCCCACGTCTCCCTGTCACGCCCGGGGTCACTGCCGGAGGAAGAGAAGGTCTGGGGCGAAGGGGGCCCCACTGACGCGTCCCTGGGACTTGTTTCAGGTGGGTCTCTTTCGAAAATCGGGCGTGAAGTCGAGGATCCACGCCTTACGTCAGATGAACGAGAGCTTCCCTGACAACGTCAACTACGAAGACCAGTCGGCCTACGACGTGGCGGACATGGTGAAGCAGTTCTTCCGGGACCTCCCCGAGCCTCTGTTCACCAACAAGCTCAGCGAGACCTTTCTCCACATCTATCAGTGTGAGTGGGAAGAATTTAGATCAGTATTCTCACGCGCGCCTGTCCCCTGGGGGGAAACCCTGCAGGCTGCATTTTAATTATACGAGTAATACATGGATTCATGGAGGAGCATACGAAAGAGATCGCTCTATGCTCCTCTCCAGGAGGAACTTTGTTCACAGCTTGATATGAAAATCTCCCGGCCATACTTTATGCATTTGAAGATACCTTTTCAACATCAAAATGTTCCTTCTTCATAGGCTTTGGCCTAACACCTACAACTATCTTTCGGTGTACTTTTAATAAATTTACAATGAAAGGCATTTTGAAAAGCCCATTTGATTTTCTAAAATTAAGCATTTCCTTGGGATACATGAAATTCAAAGTCAAATGTGTTCAAATGACTAAATATAAAAGGCAAACGTATTTTAATAACAGTGTATTTTAGGTGGCGAAAAGCAAGCAAACCAAATCAGGCTTTACACTTAATTCAACTGATTTAGATTTTCATTGGAAATTGTTTCAGTGATGTTAAATTGATCATTCTCAGCCAGGCCTCTATAATTAAAATAATCATGAAAATAACAAATTTCTATTAAAAGGCATGTTCTACTAAAGGTAATTGCGAAGGGGGATATTAGTAATGAACGTGGACTCCTTCTAGCTATGATAATGTCGTCATTATAAATTATTTTGACAGTCCAGTCCCAATTCCTTCAGAAAAAAGTTACTTGGCCCATGAACTTCGAGGTTTCGGCAAAATTAGCCTGAAGTAGACCGCTCACCTTGATGTGGGTGTAGTTTGAAGACTATAGAGAAATCAGCACTCAGCATCTTTGAGCCTGAAAATGTTGCGAATTCAAAAAGAATTATAATAGGTACTACTGACCAAAACAGGATCAAGTGGTGATCCACTAAATAAACAATATTTGGTCAAAGTTGAGTAGGTGAAGTGAATGACCCGCGTCGCTGGAATGACCCCCGTCCCTGAGCCTGTCTTCCCGCCCGGGCGGGGTTGGGGGGCTCGCCCACTGCCCGCCCCCCGCGGCCCCTCTGACGACCTAGCTTCCGCTCTTCCCCAGATGTCCCCAAGGAGCAGCGGCTGCAGGCGGCGCAGGCGGCCACCCTGCTGCTGGCGGACGAGAGCAGGGACGTCCTGCAGACGCTGCTGTGCTTCCTGCACGACGTGGTCAGCCTGGTGGAGGAGAACCAGATGACGCCCATGAACCTGGCCGTGTGCCTGGCCCCCTCGCTCTTCCACCTCAACTTACTGAAGAAGGAGAGCTCCCCCAGGTGGGTTCTGCTCGGCACCAACGCCGGGCCGAAGCCAGCCCCAGCCCCCGCCCGGGAGAACTCCTCCCGTTGGATTTCGACTTGAGAATTTGCTGGCTCTTAGTGTATAATCAGGAAATGTCTCCAGGCGACCTCATCCGGGTGCCCAGACTCGGAGGGTGGTCCACGGGGCGTTGCAGAATGTCCGTTGTGGCCCAGAAAACCTGAGGGATTTGTTTTGTTTTGCGGGTGCGAGTGCGGGGGGAAAGGAAAGTATGTGAAGTAGTATTTCACTGTCTTTAAATTTAAAGAAAGAGAGGAAGGAAGGAAGGAAGGGAGGGAGGAAGGTTGGTTCAAGGTCCAAGCATAGCAGCTTGCGGTGAAGGGGTTTCGAACTTGGGAAAAAATAGGTTCATTTTCCCAAGGGTTTTCGCTGCGAGCCATCGGCCTCTTGGCCGGCCTCAGGCGGGAGGCGCACTGACGGCCCGGGTGTGGCCGCGAGGGCATCTGGGGTCTGGGCGCCCCGGGCACGAGCGGGAACAGAGGGGAAGCTTTAACTGGGAAGGCTCTTGGGCCCGGGGCCTGCTCAGGACCGCCCCCCGCCCTCGCAGAGTCATCCAGAAGAAGTACGGCACCGGCAAGCCAGACCAGAAGGACCTCAACGAGAACCTGGCCGCGGCGCAAGGCCTCGCCCACATGATCGCCGAGTGCGACAGGCTTTTTGAGGTGAGTGAGAGGCCTCCCGGGGCCAGAGGCGACAACTGGAACAGTCGCAACGGGTTTGTTCCTGGGTTTACGAGGACGGGAACGCCCGTGCAGCTCTGGTCTTTGCCGCCAAGCAGTGTGAGGAGCTTCCGCTCTCTCTCGCTGAGGCCTGGCAGGCGAAGGCACTTGGGCGGCCGCGGCGGTTGTCCTGAAGACAACTGCGGCACCTTCAGCTGCCAGGACCCGGCCCACTATGTTCTTTTGGATTTTACCGCGCGGTTTGATTGGGTTTGACATCTGTGTGTGGGTGTGTTTCTATTGTGTGTGTGGCGGGGGCGGGGGGTGGGCAGGGGGTTGCTGACCAGTTCCTGCTAACGAAGAATCGGTAGGAGCTCATGAGAGCAGCCCCAGGCATGTGGGAGGAGTGAGCCGGACTCCGGGCCTACTCTCTGTGGCAAAGTTGGCGCGTGAGATTGGGAAGACGGTGCGAAAAAGATAAAGCTATTTCGAAGTCATAGTTGGTATTTCTCCGAAGTCCATGTGCTGCTTGAAGTTTCCTGAGCTCACATTTTTGCCAAACTGAATAAAAATACACTCAGGGGGAAATTAAAGGGAAATGGAAAGGCTGAGGGGGGGTCATTGCGGCGTTTTGGGTGCTGAATGCAGCCTCAGAAACGAATTTGTTTCCTGACTTTAGGGAGCCCCACCCCCGCACCCCCGGCCGCACTGCTGATCTCAGAGAAACGCCCCTCGCCCCGGGGCACGTGGCCGAGGCACAGGGCTTTTGATGAAATGACTTTGCTTTCTCTAACTATTGGTCTCAGCCGTTCTTTTTTCTTTCCTGTAAATATTTTATTTATTTTTTTATTTTTACACAAAGGGGAAGGGAAGGAGAGAGAGTGAGAGAAACATCCATGTGCGGTTGTCTCTTGCGCACCCCCTACTGGGGACCTGGCCCGTGACCCAGGCAGATGCCCTGACTGGGAATCGAACCACCGACCCTTTGGTTCGCAGGCCAGCGATCAAGCCACTGAGCCACTCCAGCCAGGGCGTGGTTTAAGCCTTTCTTTAGCGCCGCGTGTTGCTCTGTCACGCGTTGCAGGTCCCGCACGAGATGGTAGCCCAGCTACGGGATGCGTGTGCGGAGGCCGAGATCCATGCTCCGACCCTGGAAGACCTGGGGGCCCAGCTGGAGGACAGTGGGGCCACTTTCCACACCTACCTGGACCAGCTGCTCCAGGGCCTGCAGAAGGACGCCAAGGAGAGGTTCAAAGGATGGGTGACGTGTCCCAGCACGGACAACACAGACCTGGCTTTCAGAAAGGTAATCTCGGGGCTTCGGAAAAGGCACCCGGAAGGGCCACCTCTGACAGCCGGGAATCTGTTTTGTTTTCAAAAACAAACAAACAAAAAAACCCAACAGCCGCTGTCCAGGGGGCCTAGCACACACATGAACAAGCCGAAGCCCCCTTCTGGAGACTTCCGGGGGGCCGGGGGGCACGTGTGGAATGCCAGCCTGCTGGACCCCAGTCCCATCTCTGTCCTCCAGCTGTGTGACAGCGGGTAGGGCACGTGGCTCCCTCTGCCTCGTTATTCTCAGTCGCAGGACGGACATGATAAAAAGGCCCGTGTCCGAGGATGGCTGTTGGAACACCCAGGGGTGAGAACAGCCCCCGGCCAACAGCAAGCACTGGTGCTGGGTGTTGCTTTATGGGTGTCACCATCATCATCACCTCAACCTTAAGGGTTACCGTGGCCACCTGGTAAACCTGGGGTGTGCAGACTCGCTCTTTCACGGGGCGTGGCCAGGGGGTGGTTTGAACACCCAGGGAAACGCGGGAGGCTGTCGTTGGGCCCGGCCAACCTCTTAGCATCTACGGGTGTCTTTCCCGAGGTGGGCGACGGGAACCCCCTGAAGCTGTGGAAGGCCTCGGCGGAGGTGGAGGCGCCCCCGTCGGTGGTGCTGAACCGCGTGCTGCGGGAGCGCCACCTCTGGGACGAGGACTTCGTGCAGTGGAAGGTGGTGGAATCCCTGGACAAGCAGACGGAAGTCTATCAGTACGTGCTGAACAGCATGGCCCCCCACCCTTCCCGGGACTTCGTGGTTCTCAGGTAGGCCGCGCTCCGGAGTTCGGTGTAGTCCGTTCCTCAAGCAGATTAGGAGCTGCGGACGGAGCACGTCGCCCAGTTCTTCCGCCCGAGCTCAGCCCGCCCTGGGGATACCCGGCTGGCCCTCGCCCCCTCAGCGAAAAACGACTCTGCTCCATTTTCGCCGACTTCCTGCTCCTTCACCCCGTTTACAGCTCTGTTGGGCTCTCTCGTGGCCCCTTTCACAATGGAGCATACAGTTTACTGGGCCATAAATATGGTTCATTTCCTCTGAACAGAGTCCCAAGAGGAGCTGCTGTTTGGCCGGTTGGACTCTCTGCCAAGCCACGCAGACTGAGCGACTCCTCTCCGCTCTTGCCTCCCGCCTGTGGGGGAGCAAGCCTCCGGCCTGTGTGGCTCTCAAGACTGGGGTGTTGCAACGTCGGTGCCCCCGGGGGCAACCTCGGAGGCCCGTAGCTCACTGCCGTGCCCAGGAGCCGGGCACAGCGCCGCAGGTCCCCCTGGGCTGGGTCGCTGGGTGTCCCGCAGGTGCCAGGTCCTGACCGGGCTGGCAGGACGGCGTCTCCTGCTGCAGCAGAGGTCCTGAGAGGCCTGGGGGCAGGGCCCTGCCCTCGGGGTTTGGAGCGGACGCCCAGGCGGGGGCGGGACATTTGCCCCGTAGAGCTGTGCACGGGGGCCGCTGAGTCCCTGCTGCGTCAGAAGGAAGAGCGGCTCAGGATACTAAAAAACCCAAGTGAAATGTAATGAAATCTATATGTCATTTTTTATTGGTAGCAGATGGCAAACGCTGTCTCTTCCCTTCGCTTCGTGGTGCGAAAGGAGCCCTCCGTGAAATTCCCAAGGGTACATTTGAAATAGTTTCTTCATGAAAACTAGCCTTGAGGGCGAGCCGAAGGTTACTTTCCATGTAGGATGGTCAGGCCTGTGCAGTCGGTCCTTGAGACCTTGAGTTTAAGGGCCACCGTTCCCGGAATGCATGGGTTTATCTTAGCGACGGGCGGAGGCTGTGGGCCGTTCTGCGGGTGGCTGAGGACCACAGTCGCGGGGACATCGGCCATCTGGTGGGGGTTCAGCTTCGCGCCTGCATTCTTGCAGACAGCAGAGCGGACAGCTCTTCCGGGGTGGCGGTGGAGGGACAGAGCCGGCCGGGGCGCGTCCCTGCCGTCCAGAGACGAGGCTGAGGGACGGCTCCTCCCTCTGTCCGTCCAGCGGCTGCCCTCCCTTAGTGTGTCCTTCCGTCACCGGCGGTGCAGGGCGCTGCCGGGGGCTCCGGGGGACAGCAGACCCCAATGCTGCTCTCCTAAGGTCTCTTTTACTAGGGAGAGAGAGTCTGTCCGCAACAAGTGAGGGGGTTGGGTCGGTCACAGCCTGGGGGAAGGAGTGGGAGAATGGGAGAGCAAGGGGCGGGTTTTAAACCTGGCGGTCAGGGCGGGGCTGGGGGTGGAATGAGCGAGTCCTAACTCTAAACTCCGTGGCCGCGGCAGCCGCAGTCTGGTCCCCAGGGCAGGCCCCAGCGATGGCCAGGAGGCCCGTTCTGGCCTGCGGGTGCCAGGGCTCAGAGCTGGCGCGGCGCCATGTCAGCGTCGCCCGCACTGACAGAGACCCCGGGCCTCGTCCACGCAGCTGGGCCTGGAGGCGGGGCAAGAAGGCACCGTGGCCCGCAGCCTGCGATCCCGGCTCGCCCTCTTCGCCGTCCCTCCAACGTGCGGGTGTTTTCTCCTGCAGGACCTGGAGGACCGATTTGCCCAAGGGAATGTGCGCCCTGGTGTCCCTGTCGGTGGAGCACGAGGAGGCGCAGCTCATGGGCGGCGTGCGGGCCGTGGTGATGGACTCTCAGTACTTGATCGAGCCGTGCGGCTCCGGCAAGTCGCGGCTGACCCATGTCTGCAGGGCAGACCTGAAGTAAGTGGGGGCCCCAGCGCACCAGGCCGCGGCTGCCGTCTGGATCCCTTATTTCACTGCGCTTTTCCCTCGTAGCCTGGGCCCACGTGGGTAGATGGCTGTGCAGGCACGTCCCACCCGGCCCCCTCTCCCTCGCTCCTAGGGTGCGGGTGTCCTCCTGAAGCCCTTCGCCCTTCTCTGTCTTCAGAGCTGTCCCGGCTTTCACGTCTGTGCTGCTCCCACGGAGCAAATACAGATGCGAGAGCTCAGCCCAGAGCAGGGGCTCCATCAGCACGAGGCCCCGCCCGCCCCTCGGGGCTCCCGGGCCGCGCACCGTCGGGGAGAAGCCGGCTTCGGCCCCACCTCCCCGCGGCGCTCGCGGCCGAGCCCGTTCTCAGTCAGCTCTGGCGCTCAGTCCGGCCCTTCCCAGAGCAGACGGTGGGTGGAAGCGGCCAGTGAGTCCTGAGCAGACAGACTGGCTGCCTGGGTGCCCAGAGCTCGGAGCGGTGGCCCCGGGGCTGCGGGATGGAGGCCGACGGGCGCGGCCGCAGGGCACCCCGGCCGCCGCGGGACACGCCGCTGCGCCGCCACGTGTGCGAAGGGACTTCCCGCTCCCCTCTGGTTTGTGTCCCCGCAGAGGTCACTCCCCAGAATGGTACAACAAAGGCTTCGGACACCTGTGTGCGGCAGAAGTGGCCAGGATTAGAAACTCCTTCCAGCCCCTCATTGCTGAGGGCCCGGAAACGAAGATCTGAGCTTCCCCCGTGCGACCTGAACTCAGGGAAGAGGAAGCGGAAGCAGGGCCTGGCAGCAGAGCGCGCGCTTGGGAGGAGGCCGGCGACAGCCCGTCGGGCCGGGCGGGGCGGAGACCCCGAGGCCGGAGTGCTGAGTGCGTGGCGCGGGAGCCTCCGAGCGCTGGCCCAGCCTTCCTGGCGACGGCTCTGCCATTACTAATGTAATATTTTTAAAAATCAGAGCAGTTCTCTATGTTACTTAAAATTAAATGGGCTTCCCCTTGTGCATTGCCTAATTTGCTATTTAAAGGCTTCTAAGAAGCATATTCCTAACTGTAAATAAATGTATGTATAGCCTATGTACATATGTGTGTATATCCCTCCCTTTACTGTATATATGTAAAGTACCGATTTTATATATAATTGTGTATTTTGAAAGGCATCTGACTTGGTGAGTCCCTTCCTTCCCTGGTTCTTTCCCGGTGGCTCTGGACCCCCACGCCCCGGAAACTGAGCAGGAGTCGCTGCTAATGCCGAGGTGTGACCGCCTTGTGTCCTCTGTCGCCTGCCCCCCTGTTCAGCCAAAGATGAGCTCACCAAAGGAAACCAACAGGAAAAGGCTCTCCTGAGCCCCAGGTGGTTTTTGTTATTCCCAAACGGAGCAAGGAGTGGTGGGTAAAGCAAGGCAAAGAGCAGCTATTCCTTTTGAAAGCCAAGAAGTGGGGGCCCGTCCCCGCCAAACTTACAGCTGGATTCCCCCTGCTCCCGAGCCGGCCAGGCGCAGGTTCGGTGCCGTCTCAGACGCCCAGGAACCCGGGGATGCACGCGGGACAACTGAGCCCCGCCCTCCCGGCCCCTTAGAGCCGCCGGGGCCGCCTGTGCGCACTCACAGCCAAAGGGAGGCGCTGTGCTTCGTAGAGTTTCCGTGGATACGTCTCATGATGTTCTTAAATGTCGTTCTGTTTGACCAGTGGCCTGTTTGGTCACAGTTAATCGGCATTTTCTTACCAATGTATTGCACTGGCTTTAACCCTGGACGCCAGACAAAGGGAGCCGATAGCCGTTTAAGAGCCCTGAGCATTCATTCAGCTTCAGGGAGCTCTTCTTTTGTCAGGTGTGATCCTCCAAAGATAGAGTTCTTTCCAGGTTTGCCCTCTGAAAGACAGGGTTGTAAACTAACGGAAGGCCAACACTATGCTCTTTAATTAATTTTAGAAAGGAGAAGCAGGTTAGTGGACTTCACGCCCTGTCCTTAGCCAGTCAGGCTGCCTAGACAGGGACCCAGCCCTCTTTATCAAGCTACAGACCAAGCAGATCAATTCTCCCTAACCAATTGCAGATGGAGTTAAATTGCTTTTTATTGAAATTCGAAAACTGAGACCAAGGTAATTTATTGTGTTTGGTTTCAGGGAGCTAGATCTCTCAATAGAGATTGGTATCATAATTTAACAACTGGGGTTGGAGGGGGGAAAAAACTTATTTTCCCTTTTTTCATATTGTATGCATTTCTGTAATGTTTTCTCTCATCAGCATTGCGCGATTATTTTATCGAGAGGAATAAAAATGCTCTCTGTGAGTTCTGTTTGGTGCAAGGAAAATCAACTGTTTGAATTACGACCTAAGAGTTTTCCATCTCCCTGCCTCCCTGAGAAGGTGGCGGCTGAGCCGTAACTTTCCACCCGGGCAATGCCCTGTGAGCAGAACAAGCTCACGTCTGCCATCGGTCTGGCACCCAGCCACGTGTGCGGGGCGACTCGAAAGGGCGTGGGCCAAGCCGTTGGTTTACTCTAGCCTAACAGGGGTCCTGCTCCAGAGAGGGGGCCCTCCCTGTTTGGAAACCGCGCGAGAGGCCCAAGGACAAACGGTCCCGTGTCGCCAACCTGAGCGTGCACGCAGGTCACCCGGAGACCTGGGCCGAGGGCGTCGGCTGACGCAGGCAGCCTGGGGTGGGCCCGAGGGTCTGCATTCCTAATAGGCCCTGAGGCCCCCCCTCTGAGAAGCAGGGACCAGAGTACCCTTAAAACAGAATGAAAACAAATACGATCGCATGTCTGGCTTCCCTTCTCTTCAAATCACCTGACTTTTCAAAGTTCTTACATACTAGTGACATCCCTTCTGCAGAACAGCACCGTGCACCTAAAAAGAAAAGAGAGGAGGGGAACGATGCGTCAAGCTTGCTGGTCAAATACCGCAGTATTTTTCATTCATTGCTAATTTTGCCAATGGAAATAAAATATGATATTGCCTTTAAATATTCTATTTATACCTCATGTATATTTTTACCTCAATTGTTGGTAGCAATCATCAATTGTAAATAATGAATTACCAAGGCAAATAAATTTATATACATTAAATATTTCCTATTTTCTATAAAACGCACCTCGATTTTCATGCTTCATCCTGTAAGTGGACGCCCTGCGTCACGAGGGAGGTGTCCGTCTAAGGACGCTGCGTAGGAGCACGCCCCCGCCAACACCCCCTGGGGCTGTACTTGACGTCTGTCCCAACCACAAGGATGTTGGCCACAGACACCAACCATCTGGGCTCCTCAAGTGAAGTCTAAGGCATTAAAGTGACAGGGAAGGGTTTCTTTTGCCTTTTATTATACTTCAGTCTGGAAGTTCTACAGACACGTGTGCAGTATTTTTATCAAAGTGTCACTGAGCCGTAGCCACATTTCCCTCCCATTGAATGGACCAGAAACAGGCTGGGCGGAGCGGCGTGTGGCTGCGGCACTCGACCAGGAAGCAGAGCCACCGTGGGCTCGGGGTCCCTTGCTTCCCAGTGCACGTGTCCCGGGCCTCAGTCCTCCTAGGTCACAAAGGGGGCCCCTCGCCCCTCACCGAGGGAGGAGGAGCTCCTATGCCTCAGCTGCCGGCTGCTGAAGGAACGTCAGGCGCGAGGGTCCTCTGCACAAGCACCCTGCCCCCGGAAATTACCCACACTCCTCTCTGTGCTCAGCCCCTCCCCTTCTCCTACTACCTGCAAGCTTTGCTTTCCTGGGCAAAGGAGGAATTCCAATGGCCACTTCCCCTGTTCCACGTGAGAGAAGAGAACGTGGCGGTCATCCTAGTGGTCAGAGGCCGCAGATGTGGCCCCAGGACCCCGCATCATACGCATTCCAGCTTGACGGTGAGGGCGCTTCCTGAAATTCTTGGCATGAAACTGTTCTACATCTTTTGATGTTTGGCCACAGAAAAACCGATGGTAGGACTTTTTCTCCGGAACATGACGTAAAGGGATACATTGGGCCACAGCCCAGAGGACAACATGCTGACACAAAAGGCAAACGAATGTGCATTGCCTGCACGGGCGATGATAAATAAATACCAGGAGTCACAGCGCTCGGATGCCGCGAGCCATGGAGCTCGGCCGGCCCGCGGTGCGTGGCCTGCACGTGCCTCAGGCAGGCCGGGTCCTGCGCCCGTTGTCTTAAAGGTGGGTCCACTGCCACTCCAGCAGCCCCACAAGAGCCCCCGAGCGGCCCCCGCCCCGCGCCCGCAGTGCGTGGCGCCGAGGCGCAGAGGCTCCGCGGCCCGCGCAGCTCTGCTTCCCCGCGCCCGGGTGTCCTGCCTCAGACGCCCGTCCCTGCGGAGCGCATTGCCGGCGCGTTGAACCGGGGTGGGACGGTGGCCGGCGGCGGTGCAGCAGACACTGCGGGGGCAGACGCAGGGACGGACCGCAGGTGCTCATCATTCGTGGCAATGAGGGCGGCAGAGTCACCGTGAACACTCCGTTGGCAAATACCCGGCCGCCGCTCCAAGCGGAGAAGTGCAGGCTCAGGTTTCCACCGGCCTCTCGTCACAACCCTTTTGTCATCCAATCAGTACAGAACTGTGTCTTGCGTGCGTTTCTGTTTGTAGATGCCTTCCTACCCCTTTCTCACAAATAATTGTCTGCGGCATTTCTTGATAGTGAAACAACGGTCAAGAAGGGCTCGCCCTTTCCCTGGCCTTCGGTACTGGGACTCTCCATTCCTTTAGCTGTAAGCCTCACAACAACGTTTTTTTATTAACCTTTTAAAAAATATCTGCTGGCCTCTCATGACCCCACCCACGTGGCTGCCTTCCATCTGTGCCATAGCGCCATCAGTCACTGCCGCTGTTCCGCCAGCGCTTTCCAGAACAGGCTGGCAGACCAGTGACTTTCCTCCCACTTTTGCTCAAGGTCCCGTTGCTGCCCCCAGCGAACTCCCGGCGACGGTGCTGAAGCTCGCGCCCCAACCAGCCGATGGAGCCCACGTCTCAGCCTGGCTCTTGGGAACCCGGGGCCACGTTGAACTGCAAATCCACGACCGAAAGCACCGAAATGGAAAAGGCGTGGTATAGCTAGACCGTGGCAGGGATGCTTCTACCCACGTGTGAGCTGAAGCAAGAAGGCAGAGCATCCCTTTGCTGGAGCTTGGCTGAGAATGTGTACGAACATCGTGACTCTGATTTTGTGCCTTTCTGCATTTATCGGAGAATGACCAGGAAATTACAGTGAGCATTGAATTTGGGGTTACCAAAAATTCTAGGGAGTAGGCGAATTTGCGTATACGAGATCTGCGAATAAGGAGGACGATGTCTAAACAATACCCAGCGGTAGTTACTGTAAAATCAACGAAGCCCAGAGGCCACCGTGACCCCCAGAGACAACAGAGGAGGGACGGAGAGCCCTGCACGGAAAACCTGAGTGTCAGGGTGAAGGAAGGAGGGGGAAGCTGGGTGTGGCTAAAGCAGAGGGTCAGAGGTGGGCGGGGGGGGGGGGGGCAGGAGGTAAAGCCAGGAATTTTTAAGCCACAGCGGGGAATTTGGACTTTATCTAATGAGCAAATCAGAGCCCAGGAGCAGGGATTTGGATGGCAGAGATTTTAAAATGGGCTAAAACAGAACAGGCGTTTACTAGGCCCGTGGACGCCGCGCAGGGGTACACAGGTACCCTCATCTTTGCCAGCGTTCCTCTCCTCCGGGGCTTCTCCACAGACAGAAATAAAGAAAACGACACCGCTGCCCTTCTGAGCCGATGCTGGTCCATGGCAGCCGTGCCTTGCCTTTCCTTTCCTTTCCCGTTTCCCTTTCCTTTCTCCTTTCCCTTTCCCTTTCCCTTTTCCTTCCCTTCGCTTCCCTTCCCTTCCCTTCCCAGAACATGTCACTGGTAAGATAAGGCCACGGGTGAGATCTCCCCAGACAAACTGCAGGTCAGCGGGAGAGGCCCCCTCTCTAGTGCTGAGGCCCAGGGCCTGCCAAGGAGGCGGGCAGGCCGTGGGGCACAGAGGGCGCTGAACCTGGACCTCAGCTCCCTGAAGGGAGAGGCCCTGAGTTTGCACGCGCGGAGCCGCCCCTGGGCCCCCTGCCTCGGCTCCGGCAGGGCCAGGGCCTGGGACGGCGGCTGAGCTGAGGGTGGGTCGCGTGGCAACGGGCAGAGGGATGGTGGCGTGCGCGGCAGCCGGGTGGAAAACAGCTGTGGGGAAAGGGGGGGGGAGGTTTGTGAAGAGAGCGCCGAGCTAGAGTCATGAGTGTGCCTGAGCCGGTGGCGGAGGGCAGCGGGGTTCGCCTCGGGCGGCTCTGGATTTTCTAACGGGACAGAGGGTGCGTGTGGCGGGTCCTGTGACCCACAGAGCAGGGTTCGGGGGGACAGCAGGTCTGCGGTGGGGGGTGGGACGGGGCCAGATGAACAGGGGGGTGATCGCTGGGCCCGACCGTGTGGCGGCCGTGGTGGCTGTGAGCCAGCGGCTGGCGGTGCCCGGCGGCCGGTGGGGCGCACAGGGCTGAGCCTCCTGAGAGTGACCGGCGACCAGTGCCCGAAGGACGCGCGTTCGTTCACTTCCGCTGTGCCATTCCTGCCTCTTCTGACC